CTTCAGGTCCTCCTCAGTTTCAGCAAGCAGGGTTGTGTCATCTGCATAACACAGATTGTTGATAGATCTTCCACCAATCCTGACGCCACATTTCTCCTCATAAGAGCCCTGCCTCCCGGATAATCTGTTCTGCATACACGAGCCCCTTTTCTTCTGCTCTTCTACCCTGCCAGCTCCCCCTTCTCCCTGCCCCTTACTCTTCAGTGCCTTCCAGATGGCAAAGAGGTCTTAAAGTATGTCCCACCCCACCCACCCAAAGAAGGATTTGAGTTTCCTCAGGAGAATTTTGAAAATAACTTTAGGAATAAAGGAAGAAAAATTAATTTGGGTAAAGTCTGTCCTCCATCTTCCCACTGGGAGAATAACTCAATAAAAACTCAATAACTCTGTGGCAATGGGACAATTAAAACAGACTTTCGGGGGTGGGGAAGCGGAACGAACTGGGGGGGAGGGTAGAGAAAATAGTCAACAATGAATGAATGGAAACCCAAAATCTCTGTAAATGTTCATTAAAATTAATAAAATTTTAAAAAAGAAGAAAAAATCTCAGTAACTCTCAATAAGAATCAGAACCAACTCATCTCATAGAGGACATTCCAGTGCTTCTCCCAGGCTATGAATCTCATGGGGAAAGGAGCATGAGAATTGTCCATCTTTCTCCCACAAATCTGATTATGGATTCAAACCAGAGGTGTATGGCCTTTGGGTTAGCAGTTTAACTCCCGGTGGACAATGTCTTATGAGAGTAAACTCTTGAGTACTAAGTCATTTTACTGGTATGTTCCTATGACGCATGTGAGCTTATTTTTTCCCCATTATTTGGACATCCAGTAAAGTAAAAAGGTGGGAATTATACTGCATTGAGGAAACTGTGGCCGAGAGTTAGTAAATAATTCACACAGGTCCCATTACTAAAAAGTAGCAGAGATCAGATTTGAACTCAGCTCTCACACCTCCCTGTCCAGTGCTCTGTCTATTAACCCACATTGCCTTCCAGAACTGTGCAGAGGAGGCTGTGTCCTTTGTCTGCAGAGATTCCAGACACACTGGAGGAGCCTTCGCCCGATCTGGAGACGAAGACGCCTCTGCGTCAGGAGCCCTGACAGCCCTTTTTCCTTACAGGAATCGATTACCGAGTGAAGACGGTGAAGGTAGATGATTCCCAGGTGGCACTGCAGCTGTGGGACACGGCTGGACAGGAGAGGTGAGGAGCCCTCTGCCTCCCAACTCCCCGATGCTGCCCATTGTGAGGTGCAGCTCACAGTGCCAAGGTCCTCTGAAAAGGGGAGTAAGATGACGACTGCAAGAAAACACAGACACAGTTTCCTTCTTAAGAAGGGGGTCAGGGGACTCGCCTATCCTCAAGAAGAAGAGTCCAGATTGCCTTTAGCCCTTCATATTTATTAGACTTTTCAAAGTTAAGTTTTTTGTTCCTAAGCAAGTGCCATAGTCCTGCAGACTCATCACGCCACTGTATCCAGAAGCAAGCACCTCGGTTCCGGAGACTTGGTTATCACTCCGCCATATCCGAGAACATTGCATGGAGATAATCGCTTGGTCGCCTTAGCAGTTCCTCAGTTTACTGAGTTTCTGCTTATCACGTGGAAGCGGCCTGCCATCTCTCCTTGGTGGTGGCACAAGTCTAAATCTCGACACACAAGCCCCTCTCCATGGTGGTCTTCACCAGCCCATCCTTCCTCTACTTCCTCAGACATGGGCATTTCTCCACTGACCCTCCTCCCCTTGACCCCTCTGTGGCAGGTATCGCTGCATCACTCAGCAGTTTTTCCGGAAAGCCGATGGTGTCATTGTCATGTACGACCTCACAGCCAAACAGTCCTTTCTATCCGTCCGGCAGTGGCTGAGCAGCGTGGAGGTGAGTGGAGACCTTCCTGGGAACACTGTGGCCTCACTCTGTGTCCCCCATTTCTTCTCTGCTCATCTCTCATACAAACCATCTCACTTTAAACTGTGATTCAGGACTAACCTTCTTCTGGCAGAAACCCACTCAGGCAGGCTTTTCTTTTTCCAAGGGTCCAGCATCAGGCTAGTTACTGGGGATTGAGAAGTTAACAAGATAGGAACATTCTTTTCTTTGTTCTTGTTGTTGAAAGGGGACAAAGGGAAAAAAGATTATACTGATGAGTGTGTCACTAGGATTAAGTGCCGTTAATAGATGGTGTAGCCGGAGTGATTTTTGGAGGCCAGAATGATGAGGCTTCCCCTCACCTACTTTGGCTTGCTGCTGGGAGGGGCTATTCCCCTGAGAAGGACATGATGCTGGCAAGAGTGGAGGGTGGGTGAGGGAGAGGAAGATCCTCAACAAGGTAGATTGACACGGTGACTGCTGAGATGGGCTCTTGTGTGCCAGCAAGTGTGAGGATGGTGCAGATCTTTTCTTCTTCAGGTTACTATGGGTCTCACTCGACTTGATGGCACCTAACAACAACAACAACAAGTAGTTGGTGTTGGATTCAGTGAGGGGCAGAATGATTGTCAGAGAAGGCTTAGTTACAATTGAGCTTTGGCCTCAACCTTCTTCCATTGTCACAGCCACCTCTCTCCAGTTTGTGCAGCTTTTCCAGCCCCCATGGATGGGTTGTATCCGGCCCAGGAGCTACACTGTGCTGTATTTTTAGGATTACTGTCAGAACCTTTCACACTAGGGCAGAGTAATCAGTAATGTGAGGGGTTCAGGCTTGCTCCAAAACCCAACAGCCAGGACAGGATCCAAGGGCCACCATGTATACCTTTGACTTCTGAATTACCTGGAATATTGATTTCTGGATTTGACTTGCTAATACTCTGGCTTATAAATACTTTTCCCCTTCATGATAATCTGTATTTTCTTCCACCAATTAAATGCAACCTTGTCAAGGCCACAGGAAGTGTGGACAAAACACTTATTTCTCTTTGCAGGACCTCAGCTTATTCTTTCGCAAAACCATCAAGTAGAGCATCCCAATCCCTCTGACCGGCAAAATCCATCCCTTTAACTCTTTATTTGAGCAAACCCATGTAAGGCACTGCTTTTGGCATTGGGAATTATTTTTTTAAAGTTGTAGTTGAGGCAGACTTTATTCATGGTGACCGACCTTGTGTGTGTCCCCATAGAACTGTGCATATAGAGCTTTAAATGGTTGATTCCTGCTCCCCCACCTATCCTCGGAAGTAGATAAGCAAGTCTTTCTTCCAAGGTGTTTCTGGGTGGATTCGAACCTCCATCCTTTCAGTTAGCAATGAAGTTAGTCATTTGCATTACCCAGGCACTCCCTGAGATTATAGCTATGAATGAGAGAGAACAAGCTCTGAGCCTTGTGGAGCTTATGTTCAACACTCTGTGCAAAGCCTGGTCAGACCTCACATATCACCCAGTTACTTATCAAATAGTTGGGAGAGTACTATTACTAGATTGATCTCCTGCTGGTCTCTGTGCCGCCTGTGAACAGAGACTGCAGAGTCTTTGTTCTTGTTACCCAGGTACTGACACTATTAATCCCTGAAGTCTATGATTCTTCCCACCCAGATCTGTTTCTCTTATCATTTTGACTGGTCAGGCCACTCTGTTCTCTACTGCTCGTCCACATCCTTCTCAATACTGCAACTCAGAGAGAACAGAGTAAAAGCCAGACTCAGTGATTTTTCTAAATAGAAATCATTCTTTAGAATTGCTGTGACTAAAATGTTTTCGATAGAGTGCTTTTAAAATGAAGCCTATTGGCTCTGGACCAATTTAATGGAAAATGGTATGGGAAAACTGAAAGGGGTTCCTGTTTACACTGGAATCTCTAACATGGTTTTCTCCTTTTCCATCTGAAGTTAAGTCTCAGAAGAGACTGCAGGAACTACTTAATCCAAAGACTTTGAGATTATTCTTCCTTGGAGCCCTGGGATCAGACTGCTGTTTCCCAGAGCATGGGCCCTTCAACTCCTGTAGTCAGAGCTTCTGAGCTTCTTCAGGTTTGTACATTTGAGATTCAGGTGGAATTTTGTTTGACAAAAGGGCTTCTCTTTGAAAATCACTGATTAGTGCAGCCACTTCAATTTACAATTAAGAAATTGAGACCATTCTTCTCTAAGGTCGTCTGTTCTTTTCTCAGTCACAGCCATTGCAAAGTCCCCAATATCTAAATGTTGACATATACTAGAGCTGAGTAAAGGCATTTCAATATGTCTGGGACTCCTGGAGGCAAGCTTATTGAACAGTCTTGTCCGCCATCGTTACAGGCGTCTGTTTGCACAGAAAGTTTAGGAGTTAGCAGGAGAGATGGAGCTCAGATTGAATTGTCAAGGCACACATTAGAGTAGAAATCTTGGAAGGCCACCTTGGAAAGGTGAACTCAGTCCTTCACCAGAAAACCGTGCATCAACCCTGGATCACTGGCACATCTGTGCAGGACAGGACTGACAGCGTCAGCAGCACAGAAGCCTTGGGCCAGGTGGAAAAGGTACATCCATACGTGGTCCCCTGAGAATAACCTGTTTGTAGTGAGTTTTCCTTTTCTTGAAATCTTAGTTGCTTTCAAATTCTAAATGGTGATGGCAAACCTGACTGAGTGCCAGGATCACCTGTGGAATTTTTGAACCAAGCAGATGTCAGGGTCTTCTCTCACAAATGGAATGGTTCAGAACAGAACTTGGAATTTTAAGTGTCAAGAAGCTGCATTGCAATCCCGAAGGCACAAAGTTTGAATCTCACCATCCGCTCTGCGGGAAAAGGACGAGCAATCTCCTCCAATGAGATTAACTGCCTCTGAAAACTCACCAGAGGGTCAAGTATGCGTCAGTTTTGACTCAACGGTATACAACAACAGTATATATAGATATGTGACATTGTGCCAGAACCAACTCATGGCGGACTCCAGTGTTTATAGAGGGTTGTAAGTCACACTGGAAGATATTTCCTATGTGTTGTTTTATTTTTATTTTTCCTGTGGAGCAACTGGTGCATTTGAACCAGCCACCTTTGGGTTAGCAAGTGCAACTCTTTGTCTAGTGGGCCACCAGATCTAGAGCAAGATAGAGGAACATAGATATGAAAAACTAGCCTTCAAGTTTGAACATATCTATCTATCTATACTAGTTTGAACATATCTATCAGGATGGATAGAGAGATAGATGATAGATAGATAGATAGATAGATAGATAGATAGATAGATAGATAGATAGATAATGTTCAACTAGCAGACAGTGAGTCTTTTGGGGGCCAGTTGGCAGCATCATGATAAACAGTGAAGAGATTGAGATTGTTAACAGCATCAGCTTGTTTGGCTCCACTCTTGGTACCAGCATCCAGGAAATCAAAAGATTAATGGCATTGGGAAAATCTGCTGTCAGGGACCTCGTCAGAGTACTGAAGAGCAATGATGTCAGTCTAGAGGCTAAGATGTGCCTGACCCCAGCCAAGACCTATACAATTACTCTCTCCATCAAAGAATAATGATTAAGGACAATGACTATAGGCTAAAGACAATGCCTAAGGATAATACAAGAAGAATTGATGCCTTTGAGCTATGGTGCTGGAGAATAGTATTGTAGATACCATGGACTGCTAGAACAAACAGGTTCATATTGGAGAGAGTGAAAACCATGCTGCTCCTTGGAGGCAAGAATTTTGAAGCTTAGTCTGATAAATTTTGGGAATGTTGCAAGGAAGGACCAGTTCTTGGAAAAAGATATCATGCTTGGGAGGGTGGAGAGACAACACAAGAGGAAAAAAGCCCTGCATGAGATGGATTGGCTCAGTGACTGGAGTAATGGGGGTAGGGTGTCAGAGACAAATGAGGTTGGTTCAGGATAGAACATGGTGCAGAGCTGTTGTACACAGGGTCTCTATGAGTCACAAGAGACTTGACAGCACATAACAACAATAGCTCTGGCATCCTGGTAGTAAGGAATTGTGATGGCTGGAAACTCAAAGGTATGTTCAAATCCACCAGCTGCCTAAATGGAAAAAAGATGGGCAATATTGTCTTGTGCAATTAACTACCTCTGAAACCCTGCTAGAGAGCCAGCTTTGGGTTAGTGGTTAGTTCTGACTCGATGGTATAAAACTCTGTGTGTGTGTGTGTGTGTGTGTCTGGTGACTAAGTAGTAAAAGGTTATGCTGCCAACACAAAGGTGTGCAGGTCAAATCCACCAGCTGCTCCATGAGGAAAAACTGGACAGTTTGCTCTCATGCAATTTATTGTCTCTCAAAACCTGCTGGAAGGTCAGCTCTGGGTCAGTTCCAGCTCAGTAGTACCCAACAACAACAACGTATCTCTAGCTGGATTCAGAAGAGGCTGTGGCATGTAGGCTATCATAACTGATGTCAGGTGGATCTTGGCTGAAAGCAGATAGTACCAGAGAGATGTCTCCTTGTGTTGTATTGATTGCAGTTGTTGTTGTTGTTAAGTACTATCAAATCAAAACTGACCCTGCAGCTGGTTTTCAGAGGTGGTGAATTGCACCAGAAGAGAATTCCCGTCTATCTCCTGTGGAACAACTGGTGGATCCAAACCCCTTGCCTTTGGGTTAGTAGTGCAGCTCTTTCCCACTGAGCCTGCAGTGCCCCCATATGGATAATAACAAATATTGGATAACACTAAAAAGAATGGAAACTCCAAAACACTTCATTGTGCTCATGTGAAACTTATCCATATACCTAAAAGCAGTTTTCAAAACAGAATAAGGGGAAACAGTGTGGTTTCAAATCAAGAAAGGTGTATGTCAGGACTGTATCCTTTCTCCTTACTCAATCTGTGTGCTGAGAAAAGCATTTGAGAAGCTGGATTCTATGAAGAGGAATGTGGCATCAGGATTGGTGGAAGTCTTATCAACAACATACATTCTGCAGATGACGTGATCTTGATCTCTGAATGTGAAGAAGTCTTG